ACCATCACCTGACTTTAGTAACAGGGGGTGTTCTTCCACCTTGTGTTGATAGTTCCCTGTGACATCCTGATTTTCTTGGCTATCAATCGTCCTTCGACGGTCCCCACCGTCGCCTGTGGGCGGTATACTTGGTTGGTGATGGCTCGGAGGCTAGAATCAGCCAGTTCCCACGGCGCCTCACCCCAGGATCCTGCCTGCAGTGGGCGTCCTGGGCAGGGGGAGGAGTGCCGAGGCCCTGTGCTGATTTAAGATCTGCTTCCTCCCCAGGGCCTGGGCTTTGATCTGGGCAGGAGGGCGTTGGTGGAACCTGCACATGCCACCAGGGATCACGCGTTCAAGGGAGCTGGTGGCCACCAAGCCCCGAGCCTGGCCTGCCAAGGTCCAGGGCTACTCGCTGCAGAGACGAGCCCCAGGTAATTCTTGGTGTGTGTGGGGGGTCTGACTGCAAAGCTGGCTCCAGAGATGAGTGTTCAGCTCCATGATCACCTGGGGAAAAGTACACGAGCCTAGTCCAAGAGGACCCCGGTTCAATTTGTCCAGCAACGGTCAATCCCAAGAGTTTTAAGGTACAAACTTAGGAAAAGGAGGTGCCACCCTCTTCTGGTGAAATCAAACCTGAGCCGTAGGAACCCATTAGCCATGGGAGGGGGAGTACCTGTCTGAGCATCAAGTCCAGAGGGAGATCGGAGCTTCAGGAAAGGAATATTCCTGATAGCACTGTCTGATCACCTGGATCCACCCATGCCTGAAGCCATGTTTGAAGATTTTAGTTACTAGAACCAGTGAGTTCCTTGTCCCTTTTATCCAGTTTGACTTCATTGTCCTTTGCCTGCGCCCAGAGCATCTACACTTGCAGTTCCCCAAATGACAATAACCTGTGGATGTTTGGGTCAGGACCAAGCCTGTCTGACTTAAAGAAAAAATAAAGACGACATTCATCAGAAGCATGTTGGGGCGGGGCTGTTCTGCTGGTGCCTGGAACCCTCCGGAGAGATATTCTGCAGGTCAGAAGTGGCCAGGACGCCTCTGGCAGGCATTTGTGCTCTTGGGTTCCAGAGGCGGAAGCCTGAGGTGAGGGTGGGCCGGGGGAGAACTTCCTGTTCCCTCTTTCTGCCAGGACAGAGGCGTGGTCTCTGGAGGCGAGGGCTTTCTCTCCCTAAGTGCTCAGACATGTTTGTTGAAGGAATAACAAACCCACCAGGCTGAGAATCCAATGGGGCTTYGTCGCCATCCTGCAGTGCGCTACCCTGGCGCTCAGCCAGGCCCCCACAGACGTTGGAGTTCAGGGATTACAGAAGAGCATGTGAGGGTTGTTTAATGTTCCTCCAAATCAGCCTCCGGGCTAGAAAACAACAACAACAACAACAAAGGCCCGAGTTTCAGTCCAGATCTCAAAACAAGAGACAAGAGGTTGACTTGTCTGCTGTCCTCTTCCGCATCCAGTGCTGTTGGAAGCAGCCCGCGGCCTGTGGGCCCAGCCTCCACAGCCTCCTCCTTCGTGGGCATCTATTGCAGCCGCCCCACTGCCCAGCTGTCCTTGGCTGACCCATGGATCCTGCTGATCATTGAATTGCATTCCTCCACTTTCCACCCAGGGACAAAGTTGGTGGACCCAAGGCTTCTTGATCAACAGGTGGGGGCAGCCAGGCACTGTGGCACACACCTGTCATCCCAGTGGCTCAGGAGGCGGAGGCAGGAGGATTGCAGGTTCAAGGCCAGCCTCAGCAATTTAGGGAGACCCTGTCTCAAAATTAAAAAAAAAAAAATACAAATGGCTGGGGTGAGGCTCAGTGGTTAAGCACCTGGGGTTCAATCTTGGCACCAAAAAAAAAAATCAGGTACGACAGTGAATATTTATTTAGGACGTGACAAGAAACCCCAACAAATGACCAGTTTTTAAAACCTGACGAATGTCACAAATAATGCAACACCCAGGAAGTCATCTGTGGCCTGACGGGGGTGGTGACAGTTGCCCAGGCCCTGGGTTCCCTCCCCAGGATGGAAAGAAAAGAAATGACCCATGATTTTTTCTTCCGTTTTAGCTTCGTACTTCCCATGTGTCAACAGTTTTGATCATTTTTCACAGAGAGAACTGAATTGTCATTTAATTAAAAATCTGTTTTAGTTGTGGACGGACACAGCGCCTCTCTGTATTCATCTGTTTCACGTGGTGCTGAGACGGAACCGGGGCCTCACCTGTGCTGGGCAGGGCTCTCCCGCCGAGCTCCGGCCCTCGCCYTGTCATTTGATCTTTAGACGCATGGTTGGTCAGAATTTGGTTTGTGCTTTTAAAAATGTTTCGTGCCTTCCCGAGTTTCATTTCTGGTGATGTCCTGGACATCGTGGGGCTGTCTCAGATTTGGGAAAACCTGTATCGAGCTTTTTGCTCTTTCCCAGATGGGGCAGTGGGGTGGTTGGATTCTCCTGGACGGTGGCTGGTCCCAAGCCGTCTTTGACCTGCGCCACCCCGTGGCCGGCTGTCTGCGGACGCCTGGCTGCCGCAGAGGGTCAGGGCTTCAGGTTGTCTTCCTGGACATCAGGTGAGCAGGACAACCTAAGGTTCCCCGTCTGTTGGCAGAAGGACCCCTCTGCTAATGGTGTCACGGACCCCCGAGGGTCTGCGGACCTACTCTGCAGGTGGACTCTGGCCTTACGGATGGATTGCTTTGGGTTCCCATCTGCTCTCCATCTCAAAGAGGAACCTCTTTCGATTTCGAGATTCGTCCTTCTCCCTCTGCCCTTCCTCTTGGTCCCTTAATAACCAAACACACCGGAACAGGAGGAAAGGGGCCCCCAGGATGCCCAGGGAAGGGCAGGCCTGCCCCTGGCGAGGCGCCGATGCCCGGGTTAGGTTCCCGCCCAGACCTGCCCCTCCGTTCAGCTTGAAGGACAGACAGACCTCCAAGATGGCCATCCAGGGACTCACAGCAGGAAGTGGGAGGCCGTGGGTGCTGCATGTGGTGGAGAYGTGGCATCAGACACCCCTGGGTGGGGGCTCTCAGGTACACTGGTCCCCTGCTCTGGGGTCCTCCCTGTCCAGGTGTCCTGGTCCTTCAGGCCTGGGCAGCCCCTGCCTCCTCCGCGGAGTCCCCAGCCTTTCCCGCTCCCTCCCAGGGCTCTCTGGTCCCTTATGGCAACCGCGGCCCTTGCTGCTCTCCGCACTCTGACGGGGACCAACCCGCAAGGGAGAGCCCCCGTCTCCTGCTGCCCTAAGATACAAAGTCTTTTCCCTTGGCCTCTTCTCTCCCGGCTATGTGAGTGTCCCTGGCCCCAACTCCCCCCYGAGGCCACCGCGTGCCACCCTGGCCGTGGGTGGAGAATGCTTGTCCTGACAGCCACATGGGGTCCCGGGGAGGAGTCCCCGRGCAGGACAGCCGGGCGAGCTGGCAGGGGGGGCTTGGCTTGGGGTGGAAGGARGTGGCTTTGGGACTGTTCGTCTGGCTCAGGCCACCGCAGAGAGCACCCTCCATCGACCACAGTCAGGGGCAGAGAAACCCAAGCTGCTTCGTCCTTCTTATTCTGCTTGTTTTATTTTGCTTTTAGCGGACACATCATACCCGCACAGGTTTCTGGGTGCCTCTTGGCATGTGATACACGTGTACTGAACAGGTCAAGGTAAGGAGCAGTCCCATCACCTAAACATCTATTCTTCCTGGTGACACGTTCGGAATCCTCTCTTCCTGCTCTTTGTAAACAGACCACCCACGATKGCCGACCCAGCCGCCCTGCTGTGCATGCACCTCCTGGACTTGCCCAGCCGGGCAACTGGAACTTTGTATCCACTGACCACCCAATCCTGCCTCCCTGGCCTCCCCGCCTCCCCCGGCCTCCCCCGGCCTCCCCCGGCCTCCCCGCCTCAGCCCCCACCCCACTCTCTGCTCCTAGGAGCCGGACTTGTTTAGATCCCCCAGTCAGGAGGAACAGGTGGTGTGTGCGTCCCTGGGTCTGACAAAGCTCATCCTCGGCTTTCATTCGTTGTTGGGGCTGAATGCTCCTCTGTTGTGCCCTCCATGTCCTTCATCCAGCCATCTGTGATGGACACCTGGGTGGACTCCATACCCTGCCGCTGTGCGTGTGCTGTCCACCTGGGCTGTGGCTCTCCTTCCCTGTGGACGGCTCCCCAGCGGAGGGGTTGCTGCACCCCACGAGGCTGCTCTGGTCTCGAGGCACCTCCGTGACGTTTTGCACAGTGGCTGTGCTGACTGACGTGCCCCATCCTGGCCAGCACCTGTCACCTCTTGTCATGTGGGTAACAGCCATTCTAGGGTGAGTTAGCTCATGAACCCCCCAAGACTGCTCATGGGCAGTCTCCATGTGACCTGGAAGTGACCGGGTCCCCACCCTTTCCCCAAGAGCCGCTCTCAGTCCTGGCCTCCCACTGACGGGCACTGTCTCTGTGGTCTCGGTGGTCATCTTCTCCCCAGCATCCATTGCCTGGCCCCTGTCCTGGGCCTCACGGCCTCTGAGGAAAGCCAACAGGGGGCCAGGGGGCCAGGGGCATTGGGGAAGGGCAGCCAGCCCCATGGCTCAGGTCAGGGGCCTGGTGGGGGAAGAGGGAGTCTCAGGACCCTCCTCCAGTGAGATGAAGGTCGGCGATGGCCATTCAGTGGACTGCAGATGCATTCAGTGACCAGTCAATGCCCCCAGCACAGCCACGAGGCACTGCCCACTACGTACACAAAGATGCCGGCTCGGGGAGGGGGCGGCTGGAGGGACGGACTTTCCCATCCCACGGATGCCTGTGACCGCCTGCAGCTCTAGCCAGGACGTCGCTCACGCGGACCCGCCCACCTGTGATCCGCTGTGGACAGGAAGTCACACTCCCCCCCCCAGCTGAGGCCCGGGACCCAGTGTGCTGTGTGTGGGGGGGCTTTAGCAGATGGGAAYGTGACCCCAACACGGTGGGCTGCAAAGCTTCGGGGCCCCTGCAGCAGGCCAGCCAGGGTGTGCTGGGAGGGGTTGGAGGGGGCTCTGGGCAGGTCGCCCGGGCGTGGGCCCCCTCAGAGCCCCTCGCTGGGTCCCRTGGACGGCGTCTCCCTTCCCTCGGGCTCGGGCTCCTCTTGCAGCGCCCGGCCCAGCACGACCTTCAGGGACTCGGCCAGCCTCCGGGTCCTCCGGCTGCCCACCAGGAAGTAGATGTCGGGGTTGGCACTGCTGCTGATGGCCGAGGAGAGGCGCGACAAGCAGATGTACAGGAGCTTCGCCTCCCTGGGCAGGGGCAGCCAGAACAGCACGAACCAGTAGATGCCCAGCGGCAGGGAGCCCACGAGGAAGACCAAGATGGAGGCCAGGATGACCACCAGCAGCCGCCGGGGCCGCCGCCGCCACAGCAGGGCGCTTCTCCGCACCCGGACATAGAGGGTGATGCCGGACACGGTCATGGCAGGCGTGAAGACCCCCATGATGAGGGTGCCCATGGCCGTGTCCACCGTGAAGCAGCGGCCTTCGTCGTGCCGCCAGAACCTGAGGCAGAAGAGAGTGGTCAGGGTGTTCATGAGGAGGGCCAGCGCCCAGAGCAGGGAGCACACCACGGTGGACAGGTGCCTGGGGCGGCGGCACTTGTACCAGAGGGGGAACAGGACGGACAGGCAGCGCTGGACGCTGATGGCCGTGAGCAGGCTCAGGCTGGCGGTGTAGGCGAAGTACATCACCCGCCTCACCACCTCGTGGACCTTGGTGTGGGAGTCGGCCAGGGACGGGGTCTCCAGGGTCAGCATGGAGGCCATGCACAGGAGGAAGAGGAGGTCGGCCACAGCCAGGTTGAGCATGTAGGTGCAGAAGGGGGTCCTCTGTACGCCGACAGTCAGCAGCCAGACCACTGCGCCGTTGCCTGCCGCCCCGCACACGCTGGTGAACATGGCCAGGGAACTGGCCGCGAGGTAGACCACGTGCAGCGCGTCGACCTCGGAACCGCTCAGAGCCTGCTCCGGGTTCCGGCTGCTGTTCAGGGTCTGGTTCATGCCTGGAGAGGAAAGCGGACCAGCGTGAAATTCTGTGTGGCTTGGACCTTGGGGACTTCCGGGAGCCTCTTCCCCCCACATTTCTGATCCAGGGCTCTCATCCCGGGCCCCTTTGGCCCTGCCCGTGACCGTCACCCTGGGGCCCGTGCCCAGCCTGACCGCCATCAGCTCTGCCGTGATGGACACCCACTTGCTCTGGGTGCCCTGCTCGGTTGGGGCCCCTTCTATTCTGAGTTCAGTTATTTTCCCGTCATGAAGGGGCCTTGACTTCACCAGCTGCCTTTTCTGTTTAATTGTTTGTAGATCGGGTGGACGGGACGTCTTTATTTTCACATGTTTGTTTCTGACGCGGTGCTAAGGACGGCGCCCGGAGCCTCACAYGCTGGGCGAGCGACGGAGCTACAGCCCCAGCGCTACCAACTGCTTTTCCTGCCCCTCTTGAGGTCGTCTGTTTGTCTCTATAATCTTTGAATCCTGCAATTAACTTTTTGAAAATCAGACCTCAGGGGCAAAGAGTAGAATCGACTCCACCCACGGATTTGAGGTGCGCCGTGCCCGGCAGTCCATTCTGATGCCTGTCTCTACCCCACTCTCCTCCCGACTCACACCTGCTCTACTCCACTTAACAGAGTCTTGGACAGTCACCGATCTTTCAGAATAGGGTGGCCGCCCATCAATGTTTTATTTTTTTTTTWAWTTTTGGGGGGTTGTGGGTGGACAGTATGCATTTATTTATCTATTTATTTATTTGTGGGGCTGAGGCTCAAACCCAGGGCCTCACACGTGCTAGGCAAGYGCTCTGCGGCTGAGCCAGAAACCCCCAGCCCCCACCCATGTTTTAAATGTAAATAATGTGGATTTAGAATTTACGGGTTTTTTTTCCCCATTCAACAGTGTTTTTAGGATAGATCCGGGCGGCTGTACCATCCTGGCAATGTTCCATGACATTCGCTGACCCCATTTTACTTACATGAATCCTCAGGTGGCTCCACAGTYCCCATTATGAGAACACTGCGCGGAGCATCCTCAGGCGTGGACTGTTGCACCAGACTCGGGACTTTCCCGGGTACRAACGTTCCCGAGCGGGACGGCCGGGTCGTAGGACGCAGGAGCATTTAACTCACTCACCCTGGTGSCTCCTCTGAAGGGCTGCTCCACGTGTCACCGCCATCAGCGGGGCAGGAAGGCTCCCGCCGCCCCGCACCCCACCCACGCGTGGTTCACGCGCATCTCTCTGTTTTGCCAATCTCAGGGTTACACAAGGGTATCTCTAGGCTCTAACTTGCGCTTCTCTGGTTACATTTGGTAGCATTTTGGGTTCTCCTTCTTTGAAATGCCTGTTCATATCTGCTGCCTCCCTCTCTCTCTCTCTCTCTCTCTCTCTAACTGGGTTTCCCTCATTTTCCTTCCTGATTCGCAGCAGGTGTCTGTCATTTGTATTTCTACATGTTCAACCCTCCCTGGGTTCACACATTGTAGGTGTTTTTCTCTGAAAACTCTCTTTACTGTGGCTGGGTTTTTTTTTTTTTTCCCCCTGGCTGGCTCGCCACAAATAGATAACCATAGAAATAGTCACAGATAATTGCAAATACTCATCTTCACCTGTAGTGGAATTTGGTGGAC